AATAAATAAATAACCGACTTTACAAATAGGTATCATTTTACTGGACGGTATTTTTACGTGTTAATTAAACAAAGGTTACACCTGGCAATGACTCAAAATTACCAAATTACCCATCAAATATACTGTTTTATTTCATCATTTTACGGCTGACTCGAAGTAATCCGAGACATGTTGTTGATTTAATTCAATTAGCATAAAATTAGGAGTTTTTTTTTTAATATACAAGTTCTATCTCGCAGGTTCGCTCGCGTGAATTAGTATATCATGATCATATCGGCCTTTAACTGTCCACTGCTGAACATAAGCCGCTCCTTTGGAGGGGTTTCCAGTAGTTGCTACGCTTGGCAAGCGGATTGGCTACCATAGTAAGGCTTTGGAAATGTCTTAAGAGGGACGCTATTGCCCATCACTCCACATCCACGGGATCCCTTCCTTTCCCGTTGGCCTATTTTATGCCGGGACCATATGAAAAGTATATGAAGTATTAGTATTTTATATACGTATGTATGTATTCTAAGTTGGGATATAACCTATTTGTGTGGGGGGGAGGGATTGTTAGTAATGGAGACTGAGAATCCCATTGCTAGCAATATACCCAACCAGGTCGACCTCCTCGCGGTTCCCCCTGGAAACTATCATGGTTAATTCCTGATGAATTCATCATGATAGGCTAACTTGCCTACTTTTATTCTCATCACTCTTTACTGCTGCCCCGCCAGCGTATCCCGTTAGCGCAGGCGTGGTTACCATACCATTTTCACTCATAAAAAAAAAACCTATTTGTGTATCAAATTTCGTTTAAATCCGTTTAGTAATTTTACCATGAATGAGTATATGTATACACACACATACACATATATAATAACGTAATATAATTACGATATGTCTTTTGTTATAGATAGTTCTGCTCGCCTTCTCTGGTGAGCACTAGTCAGTACAAGGGTGTACAAACTTAGAAAGTGGTAACCGTCGCCTATAGACATGAGCAGTACCATGGACATAACAGAGTATACTGTTTCGCCCATGATACCCCCCATGCGTTGCCATTCCTGAGGACTCAGGTGTTATTCCTCTGTATCCAGTAAATTCACGCCATATCTCACCCTTCAAACCGAAACACAGCCATGCAAACACAACTGCTACACGGTTGAAACACGAATGAGACAGAGGTACCCAAGCAATCGACTTTTGTACAAAGTCTCCCTCTGGTATGGAATGATAATGGAATGGTAACGCCGCCCGCGCTATCAGTATACACCGGCGGGGCACCAGTGAGAGATAATAAGTGAGAATGAAGCAGGTCAGTTAGCCCATCGTGACGAATTCAACAAGAATTATTCACGATGGTTTCCAGGGAGAACCACGTGGAGGTCGACCTGATAAGGTGTATCGCTAGCAATGGATTCATAAGACCCCATTACTAACAATTCCTTTCTTCCCCCCCTCCTCCTATGTTTCTATTGCCGCAGACTTTATTTAAGAACTAATTTCGAGCCCAAAATCGCTATCGCTTGTCGCTCTGCTGCCACCATCGCTTTATAAGCAAACGAAAAGCTCTAATTTCGCGTTGTACACTTGCAATAACCAGATAGCAACGACTATTAGGAAGCGGAGCCACCGATAAGGACAAATAAACTGAAAATTAGGTCGCATTTAATATCCAAGTATAGGGAGGTCGGGAGAGCTGGCGACCAACAGTCGAATGCTAATCAACCGATATTAAGACACAAACGCTCGTGTTCTTTGTGAACATTTTTATACTGATGATTCCTGTTAAGCTCCTGTCTCGTCGGTGCGATTAAAAATCGTAAAGGAATAAAAGTTGTGGATAAACGTTTAAAAATTGTCGTATTAGAATATAGAATAACAACAATTAAGTATTCTCAATTCTAATAAAGTATATTAAAGTCAGAGTTGTATTTTCATAATAAAAAAAATATTGTCAATTTATTTCAGTAAATGTAACATTGTGTTATAAACGAGTCTCATTTTTGCTTTCATCATCATCATGTAAGCCTTTAACTGTCCACTACTGAATATAAACTTATCCCTTGGGGGGGCGGGGTTGTTGCCACGCTTGGCAGGTGGATTGGCAACCTCAGTAAAGCTTTGAAGATGTTTTAAGAGAGACGCTGCTGCCCATCCTTCGCCTTCCTTTAGTCGCCTCTTACGACATCCACGAAATGGAAAGGAGTGACCTATTCTATGCTGGGACCAAACGGTACATTTTTACTTTAGCCTGTAGTAATAAGCAGGGAAATAAATTATAAATAACTTTATTCTTTTTCAATCTTTATATATTTTTTAAAGTTAATATTTGTCAGTAGTTTCGAAGTGGCGCCACTTACGCGTAAGCTTTTACGGGGAAAGGGATTATTAGCAATGGAGTTTGACAGCCCCATTGCTAGCAATATGCCTTAATAGGTCGACCTCCATGTGGTTTCCCCTGGAAATCATCGTGAACAATTCTTGTTGAATTCGTCACGATGGGCTGACTGATCTACTTCATCCTCACCTATCATCCTTCACTGGTGCCCCGCCGGTGTATACTGATAGTGCGGGTGGAGTTATCATTCCATTATCATCTACTAAAAAAAAAACGCATAAGAACTTTTTGACTCCTTTTTTTGTGTTTTCTGTAGAATTTTTGTTTTTAATAAGTTATAATTTCATTACTTCTTGAAACTTTTTAATTATTTCGTTGATGTAAAAATTTACGAAAAAAAACCTTACTATACGACCGTGCGATAAGCACATTATGAAAAGTCTTGCCAATGAAACCGTACACTAAAATGTCTCAGCGAGGCGGCATTATCATGCTGTAAGAATTTGCATAGATTCCGCACGACTTCCGTCCGGGACACTAATAAAAACAATAGCCCTTGCCAAAGTTAAACATTGTCACTATCGTAACTGACTACAAGGCGGTTTTAAGAAAAAAAAATATTTTTACATACAAAACACTTATTAGCTTATTTTCTTTGTAAAACGAAGTACAAAATTAAGAAACAGATAAGCCGGCAAAAGTACCAAAGGAAGAGTTTGTACAAAAATCGTTTGCTTGGACACCTCTGTCCCATTCATGTTTTTACTATAAAGTATGGCTGTGTTTCGGTTTGAAAGGTGTGATATAGCAGCGAACTTATAAAGTACAGAGGAATAACACCTGACTCCTCAGGAATGGCAACGCATGGAGGGTATCATGGGCGAAACAGTATACTCTGTTATGTCCACGGTACTGCTCATGTCTATAGGCGACGGTTACCGCTTTCCATCAAGTGGGCCGTCAACTTGTTGGCCATTCTAAGTTGCATAAAAAAATCAAATATGGACAAGTCAAACACATTTTATGACAGCACAACGTGTGTTGGGTCGGCTAAACTACTAATATTACTAAGAGGAAAGATTTGATCGTTTATTTGTAATGGAGAAACTCAAAAACTACTCTACAGATATTAAATTAAATTCACCTAAGATTACATGTATAGATAGAGCATCGAGCTTGAAAAACGGCCCAAATTTTGTCAGCTAATTATTAAACAAGCTGACTCGTTTTTTATCAGTGTTCTATATACTTACGCACACAATGTACCTTGACGTATCCATATTTAGTTATTTAATAAATAAAATTATGTTTTGCGCATTAAAAAGGTGGCATTTTTAGAAGACAAAATAAATTTATAAAGGAATCACTCATAACTATTTATTACGCAAAATGGTATTTTCGAAGCATTTGCATGGAGACACTCTATATATATATATATATATATATATATATATATATATATATATATATATATATATATATAATAAGTTTTTCATCTTTAGAAAGCTACACTATCAACAAATAACATACTATATATTATATATGTGAATGCTATATATTAATTTCGAAAATTCTATGTACTCATGCGAAACCACGCCGGATTCCTAGTTTCATATAAAATTAAATATTGGCATAATATCTAATGAATCCGCCGTGCGATCCCGGCATAGAATGGGTACCCTCGTGGGTATATGAGTTTCCCGTGGGTGCCATAAGCAGCGACTAAGGGAACTTAATAGCCGAGGGATGGGCAGCAGCGTCTCTCTTAAAACATCACTAAACCTATCTGCGGTTGCCAACTTGCCTGCCAAGCGTGGCAATTACTGGCAAAACCCCCTTTATGGGGGAGGCCTATGTTCAGCAGTGGACAGTTAACGGCTGACGTAACAATGATGATGATGAATGAATGGACTATGGTTTCATCAAACTGCTTGAAAATAATATCAATAGTGAATTTCATACAGAAATATAGAAAAACACAAAACAATATACAAATCTAATGGAATAACAATGTTTTGATCGTTAATTGAGATGATGTGGAAGACCAAACATAAAACGAATAGAGATTATGTAAAAAAAAAAACTAAAAATGCGACCATAGACAACATCAAGAAAATTCTTGTCTCATTAGGAATTCTCGGAACGGGGTTCCCCATAACTAACCTGGCCCAAAGCCATTCCCACTGAGGCAAAGGTGGCCGTTTGTACAGCCAAATATTTTCATTACCCCAAATTCCGGATTCCGTTTTGATTAACGTCCCAGTTTAACGTGAGTTTAACGGATCATTAAAGCGGTGTACATAATAAAAAAAAAAAAATAAAAAAATTGTGAAACGGGTCGCGAACATGACGGCTAATTATAGTGGCTTTGTTTTAGTTGCGTTTTGTTTATGCTCCCGCGCAACGTACCTAGTTGCGACACGGCTGTCGTTCCGTTTTACCTGTTGTTGCGCGTAGACATAATAAACACATTAAATGCTCGCTAACCGTAATGTAGGCGAGTTACAGGTGAACGGTAATTTTAGATTTTCAAACAACCAAGAACAACATACAATCCGCCGCGCCGCCTGATGGAAAGTGGTAACTGTCACCTATAGACATTTGCAAACAAATCTTGCTCACCTTTGACTAGACATTTTTTATAAACAAACAGATGTCCACAAAAGCTACTTACCTGAAAAAAGAGGCAAAAGCACACCCATTGGTAATACTTGTAGATTTTTCTGTCGTTCATATCCTCTTTGCCTTTCTCCCGACTATTCCCGATGCCCGGATACGGCACTTCCACGCCCACCTTCTTGTTGAAGAAACTCTTGAGGGTGTACGTGGAGTGGATCCAACAGTAGGTGTTCAGTACGTCCTCTGGTATGTCCTTCGTGTGGATACAGTCAATCGGGTTGCCCACGTATTGTCTGGTCGTCACAATCAAACTAAACGAGATCAGAAGAATAACCGTAATGGAATAATGTAACCTGAACACCGGCGAATCAATATGTACATAGTTTACTTTGATAAGATTCTTTAAACCTCGGAACACGTCTAACATTGTAAACGCTGGAGTCTTTTGTCCGTTTGATTGCGCGTTACGTCCACTAACATTATTTTTGTCATTTACTCTATTATTGTTCTACAAGCACCAGTGTATTGTTTCACTATGTTCATTAACGTAAGGCACTAAGTATTGGCAGTGTTGTTTCCCGTTAATATATTCTCATGTTGGTGTAGCTTCTTTGGTATTTTTATGAACTTGAGTAGTGAGAGCACTTGTGACATATTTTCTCCGTTTCATCCTTCGTATTTTGATGACTTCACTGGTGATCAGCGTCCATCTTGGTCACGTGTCGTGGCGTGCAGTCATCGGGCCTGGGTTTACTGATTTCGTCGCTGTGCACAGCTGGGGAACGAGTCTTCTAAGAATTAATGTAAACTTTATATTTGGGTCAGTTGCGAGCGTAATTTATGTGAGATTACGCGACTCGACCGGAGCACCTATTTAACGGTGACAATGTCATGAACAGGTTATAATATATTTCTTTTTTAAATTAGAAATTTGTGAAGACAAAATCGGGATGTATTGGAACTATATGTATGTAATTTTACTTTATTTGATATTTATTAGCTGTAAATGTGGTACATAACGGGATGGAATTAATGACAATAAGTAGCTTGCACATTTAGCCAGTTTGGCATGCAACATTTTTATATATAATACATAATATAATGCACCGCCTACGTATTTCTCGGTTTACCCAATGGTTGACTGATAGAGTACACCGTCCGGTGTTAAGTCCGTCAAATGTACATAGAATTTTACTGGGCATTAAAGTTTAAATAAATAAATAAAATAATATGCTATTTATCTATTATTTAGTATTTATTTATCAATTAACGGTTCATTACGTTTTATTTTCTTACAGTTTCTACATCTCAATAGTAAAGACGGAACTTGCAATAAGATTTTAGAAATACATTTTTATATTATATACAAAAGTGAGTCTATTTTTTACCGATTGTTTCAATGTTACATTTTTACCGCCAAATTACGTAATTAAGATTGTTTAAAAAAAAATTTAAAAAATAATTTTATGACCGAAAACGAACTTGATATAGTAGTGATAACTACCTAACAAAGGGGGGAAAGGGATTATTAGTAATGGAGTCTAATTGACCCATTGCTAGCAATACAACCTATCAGGTCGATATCCACGCGGTTCCCCCTGAAAACCGTCGTGGTTAATTTTAGTGGAATTGTCATCTGTCATCCCTCACTGGTGCCCACCAGCGTATCCCGATAGCATAGACAGGGTTACCTTTCCATTATCACTCATTAAAAAAAAACTACCTAATAAAAATAATCATAAATTAGGCCAATTGCTTGGTTAAATATGAATGAATCATATCTATATATATAATATATATATATATATATATATATATATATATATATATATATATATATATATATATATATAATATAAATATGAATGAATCTATATGTTACATTTCTATTATGAAATGATATATTCCAATAATTATTGCGTGATTGAAACATTTCGAAACGGATAGGATTTTAACCAGTACCTTAATGGGGGAAAGGGATTGTTAGTAATGGAGACTGAGAATCCTATTGCTAGCAATATACCCAACCAGGTCGAGCTCCTCGCGGTTCCCCCTGGAAACTATCATGGTTAATTCTTGATGAATTCATCATGATGGGCTAACTGGCCTGTTTTCATTCTCATCTATCACCCTTCGCTGGTGCTCCGCCAGCGTATCCCGATAGCGCAAGCCAGGTTACCATACCATTTTTAACCATAAAAAAACCAGTTCCTTAATTATATATATACATAATTAAAATTAAAATTAAGTCATTGGAAATCTTATCATAGAATAAGTGTAGTTATTCTGAAATTTACGATAATATGATACCCATTCCTATGCTAAGCTATAGATACTTCTTTGTAGTAATCTCTTAAAAAAAAATTCAAAAAGAAATTATAGATACTATATTAAATTTGGTGTGTTTGCATGGCTGTGTTTCAATTTGAAGGGTAGGATATGGCAGTGAAGTTACAGGGTACAGAGGCATACCACATTGGTAATGCATAAAGGGTATCATGGGCGATACAGTATACTCTGGCCATTGTACTATTCATATCTATAGGTGACAATTACCACTTTCAATCAGGTGCCCATCAGCCTGTTTGCCATTTTAAGTTGCATAAAAAAAACTAAATAAAATTTGTCATTCGAATGACAAATTTTTTTTTAAACAAAGCAGTTGGCCATTTAACTGAAGACATCATTCGAAACAATAAAAGTCATGTACATACACAAATCACGGAACGCTTACGAGTAGAATTAAAATATTAAGAAAAAAAAAACACATTAGAACGTTTTAAATGACACTGGCCATATATCAGTTACGCAGACAGCGAAATGTTTATAGGAGTCAGCGCTTCTTTGAAACTATAATAATCGCTGTAAGAAATGAGTCACTTCGCTCATTCATCTTCCTAATTTACAGTTACAGGTTTACATAAGCGTTCATAAATGAAATTGTGATTCTATTGCATACATGAGCTGTACTCTAATTTAGCTTAATGTACTGCTATGAAATAATCTAAGATTTAGTTTCATCACTACATAATATAAAACAAAGTCGCTATCGCTGTCTGCCCGTCCCTATGTATGCTTATATCTTTAAAACTACGTAACGGATATATAAGCGGTTTTTTTAATAGATAGAGTGATTCAAGAGGAAGGTTTATATGCATAATACATGCATAATATTGTAGAGAAACACTGATAAATTAAGAGGTTTCTAATGTGATGTCGTAAATTAATACATTTTTTGCGCTTACACTGCTTACGCAGGCTGAACACCACGAGATAAATCAAAATAATGTACTACAGTGTTTTACATCTTAAAAAGGTCAACAAAAAGTCCGCGATGGTATATGTCTATCTCTCAAGGATAATCTACAATAACTATTTTTTATTCTTTACATTTTACAGGAAAAAATGGCTTATTTACGAAGTGATTTTAAGCAATACAGCATTAATTTTTATCCAATTAAGTACCGTAAATACATTGTCCATTTGATATAGATCAATATGGCCCTTTACAGCATGTAATTTAAATGAATAGTATCAGCATTGCACCCGTGCGAAGCCGGAGCGGGTTGCTAGTTAAAAATAAATGTTAAGTACATGGGACAGATAAAGGAAACACTAGGTGTCATGTCGTATTGCAAAGTCGAAGATATGGCCTGGTATAGAGCTAGAGGTAAGAAATTGTATGAAGTGAACAGGGGGAAACTCTTAAATGAAAAGAGAGAGAAATAATAAATGTATAATTAAATTATGGCCCACAAGAAAGCTACTTCAATTATGGAAAAATCTGATATTTTGATTTAACTAAACTAAACTACTGAATTTATATTAATAAAATATCTATGGGTCAATCTGTAAGCATTTTCATAAATATTAGAATTTTTCAAATCGGTTTACAAGTGATGGGGTTATGAGGTGACAAACATAAAAAAGGAAATACAATTTCCTTCTCTTTGAAGTAAAAAAAAAGTTTTCAATAGAAACAAAATAGGGAAAGGGGGGAAAGGAATTGTTAGTTGTCAAATAGCCCTATTACTAGCAATATACCCTGTCAGGTCGACCTCCACGTGGTTCCCCCTGGAAACCATCGTGACTAATTCTAGTTTAATTCGTCAGGATGGGCTAACTGACCTACTTTCATCTTCATCTGTCATCGCTCACTGGTGCCCCGCCAGTGTATACCGATAGCACAGACGGGGTTACCATACCATTATAACCCATTAAAAAAAAAAAAATAAACAAAATAAGTATTTATCCAATGTGATAAGAAAACAATATAGTTCATACTGACTTGATACTTTTTAGTTTTTTTCTTTTTTTATATCGATAAAAGTCTTACTTATATAATAAGTATGTGGTCTACTCTCTGCCGAGACCACACGCGCTAAAAGTATTTTGAAATAAATTTGTAATTTCAAAATGAGTGGTTAAAAAATGGACTGTCAAATAGAACGGACAAACATCGGTGTTGTCTAATGATGTAACGAATGGGTACGCTTTGTATTCTACGAAATAGCGAGAGAGATGTTAGCTAATCATTTCATTGGAACCATTCATTAGGTTGTCGGTGATTTTCAAGAAAACGTCACGATCATAGCACTGAAGTATTCTTGCGCTTAACTCTTCTTTGCATGATTTTTTTTACTGGTGAAATAAATCAAGGTGATATAATTCATGTTCAATGCTGTCAAATTTTATTTTTTTAACCATTTTTCATTAAAGGAAAAATGGTTAAAAAAATAAATTTGACAGCTATGTTTTTTTTTCTGCAATGGACAATAAAAGGCATCCAGACACGATCAATTTAAAGTGAACTTGTTCTTTTATATAATTTTTGGGCATTTAATGTTATGATGGAAATTTCCACCAGTATGCAAAGAAGGGTTAAAGACAAATGAATAGATAGATATATATTTTATCTTGCATCTCTTACAGCACACAAATAATATTAGATATTGGTACTTACTTAAAAAGATAAATAGATACTCTTTATTGTTTCCTCCATAAGATTACAATAGTAAACTTATAAATACAAACAATTACAAGAAAATATTACACTGAGAAAACAATGGGCGGCCTTAAGAGCGATCTCTTCCAGGCAACCTTTGGATAGAGAATTTTTTTTTATTTTTTTATTAGGTGATAATGAAATAGTCACCCCGCCTGCGCTAACGGTATACGCTGGCGGGGCACCAGTGAAGGATGGTAGGTGAAAATAAAAGCAGGTCAGTTAGCCCATACTAGGGCATATTGCTAGCAATGGAGCTGTCAAACTCCATTGCTAACAATCCCTTTCCCCCCCGGCGGCGGGGTTACCATTCCATTTTCATGTTTACAAAACATACACGTCACAGATCACGTAGTAGTTAATAACGTAGACACAACATAATACTAAAGACAAGAATTTAAGAGACACGACAGTGCGCTATATTTTATATTGATATCTCTGTATTTAAAAAAAAATAACAGTTAATCTTTTAATAACAGTATTTGCTCTGTGGATCTAAATAAGAAATCGTATTGATGGATAGTCCGTCGTGTGGTCCCGGCGTAGAGCGGTCCGCCTTTTCTTTTCTCGTAAATGTCGTAGGAGGCGACTAAAGTACCTTATTGCTCGAGGGATGGACAGCAGCGTTTCTCTTAAAACGTCACCAAAGGCTAACTGTGGTTGCCAACCCATCTACCAAGCGTGACAACTACTGGGAACCCCCCCCCCCCTTCCTTACAGGGAAGTTTTATGTTCAACATGGCTGATATAACAATAATAAATCGCTGAATGGTAAAATTCAAATATAATATAATTAAGTGTCGTGTGGTCCCGGCATAGAATGGACCATATCTCCTTTTCCCGTTTTGTAAGTGGCGACTAAGGG